TATAAGACCTATAGAAGGAAAACTACAGAACTCTGATAAAAGAAATCAAACAACTAAAGAAATGGAGAGGTATTCCATGTTCACAGATGGGAAGATTCAATACTGTCAAGAAATCAGTTCTTCCCAACTTCATCTATAGATTCAATGCAATCGCTATCAAAATCCTAGAAAGTAATTTTGTGGATAATGACAAACTGATTCTAAAGTTCATACGGAGAGGCAAAAGACCCAGAAGAGCCAATACAATACTGAAGGAGAACCAAGTTAGAGGACTGATACCACACAACTTCAAGCTACAGTAATCAAGATAGTGTGGTTCTTGTGAAAAGAACAGAAAAACAGATCAGTGGAACAGAATAGAAAGCCCAGAAATAGATCTACATAAATACAGTCAATTGATCTTTGACAAAAGAGAAAAAGCAATGAAATGGAAAGGGACAGTCTTTTTAACAAATGGTGTTAAAACGGCTGAATATCCATGAGCAAAAAACAAACAAAAAAACACACACAACTAATCTACAGACCTTACACTTTTAGAGAAAATTAACTTGAAATGAATTGGATCTAAATGTATAACACTCCTAGAATATAGGAGAAAACCTAGATGACCTTAGATATAGTGATGACTTTTCAGACATGATCCATGATTGAAATAATTGATAAGTTGTAGAACTTTATTAAAACTAAAAACTTCTGCTCCGTGAAAGACAAAGCTAAGGGAGTGAGACAACAAGTCACAGACTGGGAGGAAAAAACTGCAAAAGAGACATCTGATAAACAGCTGTTATCTAAAACATACAAAGAACTCTTAAAACTCAAGAGAACAAACCAATTAAAAAATGGGCCCAAGACCTTAAGAGAAATCTCACCGATGAAGACATACAGATGGCAAATAAGCATGTGAAAAGATGCTCCACATCATATGTCATTAGGGAAATGCAAATTAAAACAGTGAGATACGACTACGTATCTACTAGCATGGCCAAAATGCAGAACACTGATAACATCAAATACTGATGAGGATATCAAGGAACAGGAACTCTCATTCACTGCTGTTAGAAATGCAAAATGGTACAGCCACAATGGAAGATAGTTTGGCAGTTTCTTACAAAATCAGACATACTCTTACCATATTTGCACTCCAGTAATTGCACTCCTTAGTATTTACCCAAAGGAGTTGAAAATATATCTGCACAAAAACCTGCACACAGATGTATATATGGTTTATTCATAATTGCCAAAACCTGGAAGCAATGAAGATATCCTTTAGTATGTGAATGGATAAACCAACTGTGGTGCATCTAGACAATGGAACATTATTCAGCACTAAAAAGAAATGAGCTATCAAGCCATGAAAAGACATGAAGGAACTTTAAATGCATATTACGAAGTGAAAGAAGGCACTCTGAAAAGTTTATATACTGTATGATTCTAACTATATGGCATTCTGGAAAAGGCTAAACTGGAGACAGTAAAAAGATCAGTGGTTACCAAAAGTTAGGGAGAAGGGATGAATTGGCAGAGTATGGAAGATTTTTAGGGCAGTGAAAACACTCTTTATGATACTATATTGATGGATCTATGTCATTATACATTTGTCCAAATCAGCAGAATATACAAGACCAAGAGTAAACCATAATGAAACTATGTACTTTGGGTGATTATGATGTGTCAATGTAGATTCATCAACTGTAAAAAATATCACTCTGGTGGGGGATGTTAATAATGGAGGAAGCTATCCATGTGTGGGGGCAGGGGTTAGATGGGAAATCTCTGTAGCTACCCCTCGATTCTGCTGTGAACCTTCAGCTGCTCTAAAAAAAGTCTTTAATTAAAAAAGAATACAGATGAGAGAGGTCATAATTGATAGAGCCAGTGGGTACAGGGCACAGTGGGTACAGGGCACAGGATCCAGGGCACAGGGAAAGGATTAAGCTTTAAAAAAGGAGCTTTTCCACAAGACAAGAGGGAATAAAGATACGTACCTAGCTCTAATATGAACTTCAGTATTACAATGGGAGCATAATGACAGATTCATGCTGTGATTTTAAAAGTCACTTGATAAATTGTACACAAAAAGTGGTTAAAATGGTAATTTTTATTATATATCTTTTACATTTGTGTGTGTATATATATGTTACTTGATTACTATTCAATTTCCATATGCTAATAGGTTAAGCACTGACCATTACATTTTATGGTTGGCTCAAGTTTAGCTTTTATTTTACTAACTACTCTAGATCTTACATAAGACAAGTCCTAATTACTTCTTGTGGCCACTAAAAAAGATGTATTCCACTTTATCCATAGTTTGTCTATTCCTACTTAATAGCATAAACCAAAGATCTTACCATCTGAAATACATCGGAGCCTTCATCAAAATCTACCATAGCAAAAAATATCCTGTTGGTAAATGCACTGGAGTATCGCCAAGAGTTTGCCAGGATCTGGAATTCTTCATCAGCTTGCCTGGATGCAATCAGATTTGTAAAATTAACATATAAAACATTTTAAAATGCAATCTAGTTTTATCAGCAGTAAAACAGATCCAAAGACACAACAGCAGTTTTTTCCAATGGGAGTGTGGCAGGGCAGAGAGACAAGCAAGTCAGACTCTGCTGACAGGGTTAAGACAAACCTTGGCAACCTCTGCCACTGTTTTGGTATAAGAGAAACCTTACCCTAAGTGTTGTGGATTTCAACATAAAGTATTAATTACCTGACTACACTTCATACTTTGTGCCTATTTCTTATCTCAAAGCTCTTTCACTAGTCACTGGAAAAATCCAGCTAACTGTCTCTAAATTACTTCTAAGAATTCAAAGACAAGGATGAAGTATTTTCCCAGAGAAAATAGACTATAATATTAATTCATTTTAAAAATCGAAAGTACAAAATGCTACTTAGTAAATAAAAACACAGTCAGATGAATTATTAGGGTAAAAAACAAGAAGAATCTAGGAAACTGAGATTAACTGAATCTTCGAGTCATGTTTTTGACTTTTACTTTATTGTCCACGTGGTTTCAGTTTCTAAGATCTGACAATTCTTCATTTGTGATTATCTTTTAACTCCATCCCTTTCCATTTATATCCATTGCTATTATCTAAAGTCAGATCCTTAATATCTGACATTAGAATATTAAAATACTGACTCTAGTTTCTCCTAAGAAGCAACTCTCAGAAACTGTTGCTTTTCTATTATCTTCAGAATAGTCTCCCAAGTTCTTTCGCTGGTTATTCAAGGTTATCATCTAGTTCCAAATAACCCATTTAGCTTTTATGTAGCCTTATTACTAATAAATCTCAATCAGGATCCCTTAATTACAGCCTTTTATTTATTTCTATCTCTGTACCCCACCGCACACATCATTGTTTCTAACCAGAATACCCTACCTCTATCTAAATCTGTTCCATCTGTCTAGCCCTATTATAAATCCTATCTTTTCCATTAGGTCAACCCTACCTACTCTTGTTATATGTCCTTTCTGAAATTTTACAGTATTTATTATATACACAATTAATTTGATACTTAATCACAAATCGCCTTATATTGCCAGTGAAATTTTCATGTGTGGAACTCATTTCCCTAGCCAGATGGTAAGGGCAGGACATCTTTCTTATACTTCTTTTCCTGATAGCACCAAATATACAGTATTATACATATTGCTGTTGCTTAATTTTTCTTTTTTGAATGAGTTTAGGAAATCATGAGCTAATTTTAAATTTAGTCTCATAGAAAGATACTAATAAAACCTTAGGTTAATACGAACTGCATTAATTTGCATTTAATACAGAATTATGAGTAATTCTTGATTTCAAGTTTTTTCACAGTTAATACCTACTATTCTTTTTCCTTCTTCTATTTACTTTTAATTTATATTCAGCATACACCCCATAAAAATAAGTACTCTGGGACCAAATGTCTCGACTATCTCCTACCTCCAAGGAGAAAATCCTTTAAGAACAGTTGCAAGGCTTGGGGTAGCATAACACGCTATTGTGAAAGGAGGCTGTCTATTTCTTCACATGGGGTGATGCTGTCAGGATTTGGAAAGCCTCCAAGATTTTACTAAATTAGTTCACAGGGTAGCTTTGCCATTTCATTTAAAGTAAATTCCCAGACCACATAGACTGATTTAAAAACATAAGAATACCAAAAGGCAAAAGCTTTTTTTAGTATCCACTATTTTTAATTACCCATAGTGCTTTTGCTTAAAGAAATACCAATATTTATTCCTAAGATCATTCAAAAAGTAAAATAAAAATCAATAAACCATTATCTGATGAATGTTTAAGTGGAATTAGTCTTAATTTCCAGGTTACAATCACTACAAAATAATCTAGAAAAAAAGAAACATCTCTAAATCACGTATATTTGTTTTCTAAAAAAGTTCGCTTATAATTCCAAACTTGGATGTAACCACTATTATTACATTAATAAACATCTCTAGCTTGGGTAGATCAGCTAAAATTTTAGAACTTGCTTCTTCCAAAAATGAGAGAATATTTGCTTTACTACCTTCTGGAGCTGTTGTGATAAAATAGAGTTTGAAGTTGAAAGCACTACATCAATGTTATTAGCATACATTTCTATAACTTAATACCAATTTGTAAGATGACTATTAGATTTTTAAGTTATTCCTATGGTGGCTACTACAATTCTTTATCCTTGCTCTTCGTTCCCCCCATTAATATGGAAAACCAAAAAATGACTATAAAAGAGCAGTAGTATTATGTGTCACTACAGATATCCTAAGTAAGGTATACATATTAATTGTTTATGTACCCACTAATTTTTCTTGGATTGAAAAATGGTTAAAATATTAAGAGTTATTTAATTTCAAAGTGTAGTTGAAAGTTCATACTTGCATACAACACATTGTCTATGAAGTTGGAGAGCAGTGAACATGACAATAACGGAGTAGTTTCTTGGTGGGGCTTTAACAAGGCGACGGAACTTGTCTCCATTCATTCTTATTACAGGCCTTTTATTGGTCCATTCCATCAGCTGACTAACCTTTTCAGATAACACCATCTAAAAAAGACAAGGGGAACATGCTATTAATACTCTCAACTTGGCATATAAAGTTCCTTTTAACTAGGCAACTTACTTAACACTAAGACCAACAAGCAGAGGTACATAAAAAATGTGAGAGACCTCAAAATAAAATTTGGCAGTTGGGCCTGATGATAATTATTCTTAAAATTAATTATTACATGATGAGATGCAATCAAGCACTATGTTTTTGATGTGATTACTTGTTTACTAATGAATAAAATAATATAAAATCATAAACCCCTTCATTTGCCAAAGATTCCAAAGAATGTTGAGTTAAATAGGCTAGTTTTTTATAAGACTTTGCTTCTCAAAACACACACACACACACCCACTCAC